TTTTTCATTTGTCATCTCTATGCAGAACTCCTCAAGTGGAAACATTTTAGCTTCACCTGGTTTAATTTGGTAAATCTTCTTTAAGGCACCTTTGGCTATCCAATTATTAATTAAAAAATAATTAGTAATTAACAAAAGATTAATGTACAGGATGCAAATGATCAAGGCGGACATATTTAGAAGAGGTTGTAGTGGTGAGTAATGGTCCGATCCTTAGGTGGGCTCCCAGAGCCAGCCCTGCTAAGGACCCCATATATAACCCTGCTTTATAGAAATGTTTGCACAATTGCTTGCTAGCTGTTTTTTAAGAGTACTCCTGTTCTGTCCATTGATTTTTACAGAATTAATGCATGACTAATCATTTAAGTTAACTATCTTGGAACACTGACAGCTCCTTGGCTGTAGGGGAAACACAACAAAGCCCTTCCTATCTGGAATACCTGAGGTGTGACTGAATCCCAAAACAGCAGAAGGTAAAATTTTGTAACTGGGCCATCAGCAGTGTTCTGAATTTATAAAGTTGTAGTGTGGTTTTCTCGCCGCAGTTAAGGGTGATCAGCAGGCCCTCCAGCGAGTGGTAAAAACAGCAGGGAAGGCCACTGCAAAGGTCAGCACTATCCACACTACCCAACGCCTGAGGAAAGTCCATAACATCCTGAATTATCAACACCACCCATCAGGTGTTCCACCAACTGCCTTCAGGTGAAAGATTCAGGTCTTTACAAGCAACTTGACTTGCCCACAGCCTGTACCCTCAGTCAGTTAGCCCCCACCCCCATTCTCCCTTTGCACCATCTTTAGACATTCACTACAGCACTATTACAAAGCTCTCAAATTAAGACTCTGTTGGTCATTAACCAAAGGTTTAAATAAGGAAACATTCTCGGAGCAGCAATTAGATATAAAACTCGAACCAAAAAAAAAAAACTATAAATATATAAATATATATATTTACTCCTTTATCTTTTGTTTCATCCACAACTCTAAAAGTATCAGTTTTAGATTCACCTTGATCGCCCGCCTGCTAATGAAAAAAGTAATCGACAAATTTATTAATTAGCAAAATAACCTCTCTTGTTTTCTTTACAATTAATAAAGAATGTGCAATACATGTTTTTTTCTTTCTAGTTAAAACCATTTTCCTTTTAGGGATGTTAATTTACTCAAACTCTCTTTTTAAGTAATTAACAGAATCATCAATGACTAAAACAATCAATAGATGCTGCTCAATGTTAAAAACCTGCGCTTTCACAGAAGATAGAGTCTTCTCACTTTGTTCTTGTCGTGTTAATAGTGAAGTTAATCAGAGGTCTATTTCCTCCTCAAATCGACCGCCATCTCCTCAGTCTTGTCAGCATTGAGGAGAGCACTTCTGCAGAAAAAGTACAAGGACTCAAGTTCCCTACTAATGCCTCCCTCCTCTGCAGAGTCAACAGAAGGCTTCTGGAGGTGGTGTGACTCAGGGTTGTACTATAAGACAGAGGTGTAACGACGGCACGGAAACGGGAAGACAACAATTCCCTCAGTGGCTGTGGACTGCATCAGACATGGTGTTCCTCAGCCAAACACACTGAAGCCTGTCTGACAGCTAATCAGGAACCCAGAGGCCACTTATCCTGAGCAGCTTGTCACACACACCATGATCCGTGATACTCGCTGTGCCTCTCATACCTTCCAGGTGAGATCCAGTGAGTGTGCTGCTGCAGATAGATGACAGCATCATCCACCCCCACGTGCAGCTGGTAGGCAAACTGAAAAGGGTCAAAAGCAGTTTTCCACATCTGAACTGAGTGGGGTCAGAACTACTCTCTGGAACCTTCATGACAGGCAGCACCAGAATAAAATCAGAGAGGCCAGATGGTGCAGAGGACTTTGACCCTGCAGGCTGTTTTTTTTTCCAAAGCCCTGGTTCTCTTCTCTGAAGATCCTCGAATGAACAATACCTCAAGACCGTATTAAAGACGGTAAAAACACAATCAGGATAAGCCTCTTCTCTGCATGCATATAATTAGCTGGTGAACCAGTCAACCAAGCTGTTCGTCCATCACACTAGAGCTAAAGGGTCAGTTTACAGGGCGAACTTTTAATTAGGATTTCTATCTGAACAGTGAGAACTACCTTTAAAAAGAATTCACCTATTAAAATTATATTTCAGTTTCATTCTTAATGATAATATGCAATTACAAAAGTGGAAACACTTATGGTCTGGAGGTTTATACATGCGCTCCTCTTCACTAACAACATAATAATAAAGTCAATCTTTTTTTTATTTTTTATATTTATTACCCCTTTGGTTTTATGGGTGGAAAAATACAATTTGGTGCATAACTTTACATTTATGTTTTTAGAGGAACATATAAAAGCACTTCAAACTGTTTAGAAAATGTGAGAAACTAAAATACTGTTGATGAAATTGGCTTTTAGCTTTATTCTTGCTGGATAATTAACATCTTTTCCATCTCTGAATAGAGATAGTAATATTAATTAAAAGGAGTTGGTACTTAGCATACGTCTGACTGTTAACATAATCCATACATTATTAGTAGGGTTTAGGTCGAGACCATTCCTATGAAGGAGAATTAGAATCATTTGAAGGGAAAAAAAACATTTTTTTTTTACTGTATTTTTCTTTTTTTTTGTGGCACGGAGAATTGCATTTAATTTTATTTCAAGATTAAAGTTGGAATGTTTAGAACTTTTATGTCCTTTATATTTTAAGGTTAAAATTCTAAAAAGAAAACACAGAGAATGCTGATTATTTTTTTCTGATAGGTCATATTTTTCCTATCTTAGTTTCCTTTCACTGGCTTCTTGTTAAATCTATAATATAAAGTAAAAAGTATACTCATTCATCTGACAATTATGAAGCTCTAAATAGCTAAGCAACATCTTATATCAGGGATCTGATCATTCTTTATGTTCCTAACAAACACTTTGCTCTCAACCTGCCGGTTTACTATTGGTTCCTAGAACAAGTACTAGAAGTAGATTGGGAGGCAGATCTTTTATTTATTAGGCTCCTCTCAGGTGGAACCAGCTTAAAATTTTAGTCTGTGAGGCAGACACCCTGTCTAGTTGTAAGTCCAGGCTTAAAACTTTTTGATAAAGCTAATTGTGAGAGTGGCTCAGGTTATCCTGAGCTATCTTTGTACTTACGCTACTATAGGCTTATACTGCCGGAGGATGTAGGGACCCTTTTTTATCATCCTGCTTCATTCTATTGCTATTTTATAATTCTACAGTATTTGTCTGTTCAATCTTTAACTGTATGTGCTTTTTCTAATTTAGAATGCATTTATGGATCAGCGCTTAAACTCCATTCGACCTTTGGAGGAGGCCGCTCACACTGAGCCTCGTTCTGTTGGAGTTTTTTTCCTGTTAGAAGGGAGTTTTCCTCTCCACTGTTGCTACAAGCATGCTCATAGTGAGGGATTGCAGTTGTGACAATGAGCCTGTGCGATCAGCTGGTTTTCCTTAGATAGAAAACTTTGAACCAATCTGTCTGTATGATCTGGTTGAATTGAGATGATGTGTTGTGAATTGGTGCTTTATAAATAAACTAAATGAAATTGAAATTGCCATGCCACTCTGGAATAACCTCTGTTTTGACAAAGATTGTCATAGGATAGAAGGTTTTTATGCTAAAGGTAACAGATTTTCAGTTGATAAATCCTAGTGAAAAGCACCAACTCTTTGACATATGGAGTGAACATCAGAGGTCTTTGTGCTGCTGTCATTTCAATTCCATGTTGGTGCTTTTCCTTCATTTTACCACCTCTGATAAACTTTAATCTAAAAAAAAAACCCAAAACAAAAAAACAGCACAAAAGTAACAGACTCCAATACTCTGACCAAGTCAGAACTCAAACCTAACACCACTTTCTTTACTAGAAATCTCACCGGAAATTCATTTCTCACTCTGTTTGAAACACCCATTTACCTAGCTACTATTTAGAGATGGTCTTCCACCTCTACTATTCCCATCATTATGTAAAACATCAAATGGCAGCAAAACTTTACTATTATCACCTCACTGGAAAGCAGATTTATTGTATTTGATTTCCGGGTTTTACCTTTACACCTCTAAACATTCCTGTTATTGTGTTCAAATACCTTAACCTCTGTTTTATCTCATCCATATTAAACTTTTCACCAGAATTGGTTTCGTCACTGAAGACTAATGCAGATTGAAGTTGTCGGTTTTGAAGCCACACCACTGTTGAACTCTTTTGAATGTGGACAATGACATGGTGTTCCTGCAACCTCCAGTTTCACAGGCTTTTAGCCTTGATGGTTTCTAAAAATGTTCACCAATTTTTTTTTTCTGGGGGTGACACTTTGGATCGGATGGTTGAAACTTGCATGCAGTGGGCTGTTCTGACACAGAAATTGTCATTTGTCGAGAGGTGGGTTGAGTACACAAAAAGTCCTCCTTAAGAGTAAAAAATAGCCCTTAAGAGTGAAAGAAAATTTTCGCTTGAAAGGCTCAAGTAATTAAAACATCTGATGTTTAGAATAATTTTATAAAAACTAACAAAAATGTAAAGATATGTGCACATTCTGATATTTTAAATGCTATAATAAACCAATTAAAATAATCAAATAATGCAATCAAAAAATAAAAACTATGGGAATAAATACTTTTCCAAACCACTTTTAATTTTTTAAACAATAAACTTTTGAAACCAGTACCTTCAATGACATAATTTACTCTTCAATGTATATTAGCATCTCCAAATGTCATGTTAAGTTCAAGTAAACCTGCGTAAAAAAAGAAGGAAAAAAAAAGATGTCTTCTTCGGGAGCAAAAGAAAGCAAAATTGTAAAATTATATTTAAATATATATATATATATATATATAAATATATACGGTATGTGTGCTTGTGTTATTTGATTAACAAAGATATTACTCAATTAAATGAGTAGTAAAGCTACACTATACATTTTTTGTCAAAAAGTAAAGTAACTGAGTAAATGTAACTAGTTCATTCTCATCTCAACATTTGTCTACTCTGAGCAGTTTTTTGTGTGCAAATGAGTTAATTTTTAAAAGGATTTTGGTAATGCAGTACTGAAAAGCATGAATTTAGACAAGAAAACAAAGATTTCACTCAAATTTGTCTTATTTTATTCACTTCTTTGGAAAACATTAAAGGAAACATACACAAGAAAGAAGGCAACAGAAAATCTGTCATCCTCTGCCTAAAGCTTTGGCCCTATACTGTTAAAAACAGCACCAGGAGACAGCAAGAAAGGGCAGGTGAGGAGAATCAGAGACAAATGGCTTAATAAAGTGAGAAGCAGTTTTGCATAGCGGCTCCCTACAGGCAAAGGCACAGTCATTGCGTCAGCATCTCCTAACCACGTTTAGCCTGACAAACGGCAGCCTTGCTCCTGCAGAGCAGAATTTAAAGCCAGAGTGAGGTGAATGTTGCAGGCTGGCTTTGAGAGGCTACATTAAGACTAAGACAGGAGGAAACTCTGGAATAATTACTTCATTATCAACAGTCGGCCGTTAAACTCCTCGCACAGAGGACACGGTCGCTGCAGAGTAGAAAAATAAATGAACCTGAGGGGAGGAGATATGGGTATGGCAACGGAGCAGGAGCACAATCAAACATACAGAATATAATATACAACCTGTGTAGATACCAAGGCTTATATATGCAGTGAGACTTTACAGTTACAATGCAAATTCATTATAAGAAGCACTTCACTTGTGATTGTCAAGAAAAGAAGGGCCAAACATTTAACAGCAGCAAAAAGCCATCCCTTGTTTTAACATCTCACAATACAAATTCATATAGCATAAAAAACCACAGTAATATCAATAACAACAATAATAATAATAATAATAGTATGGAATGTGTTTTCCCTTACTAATCCCATGATTATCAGATAAAGAGAAAAGCGGGATCAAGACTTTCAGGCACTTAGAGAAGAAACATACAGCAGAGTGAGGATCATAGTGCAAAATAAGCTGCTTTGAAGGCAAAGGAATGATTCAGCATGTGATCATACATTAAATAATATGATTTAAAAAAAAAGAGAAGTGAAAAATAGAGTGATTGCGTAATAAATGACTCCAGGAAACCTGAAGTTGGAAGTGCAAGCAGAGGATGTGTCTGCAGGAGCTGCAGAGAGGCTGTGGATTCCAGTGCATGTCTGTCTTTGGTGTCTTGAGTAGCTTAGAGATACAAAATACAACAAAGTGTACAAATTAAAGGACATCTTCTAAGGCTCTATCACCTTGAAGTCCATCTGGACTTTTTGCAAATATTGTCTGAATAAAGATGATAAAGAGACATCGAATTCATGCCTTGGATGAAGGAAAAAACAAATCTAGATGAAAAAGTTTTGCTTTTTCGTTTTAGCATTAAGGTGTTGCAGCAAAGTACAGCTGTGGAAGAGTTCCTGAGTCAGTGGAGTGACCGGGCGTATGTGTGTCTGAAGGTAAAGCAGAGGTTCTATCTGTATTCACTGGTGGGAGCTTGTTGGAGGCACCAGGTGTGAAGACGGGGACCTCCGCTGCACCCCTTTACCCTCCGTTTCAGTCGCAGCCTGCCGCTCGCACAGACTCCCCAGCAGCTGAGCCGTCTTGAAGACGGACGCCTGCCCGGCGGGCTGAAGGGAGCGGACCTTCTGCAGGTTCTGCAGCGTCCTCAGCATCTCGGCCGACACGATGGGCAGGTGCTGCTCCTGGATCAGGCTGGTGCCGGCGGGCCGCAGGACGGTGTCGCGCTGAGCCGATAGCTTGGGAGCCGATCTGGGGCGCGGTGTTGGCGTGGCCCGCGAAGAGACCAGCAGAGTTTTCTTCAGCGGCGGCTGGGAATCCTCCTCATCATCTTCCTCTTCCTCCTCCTCTTCTCCAGCAGACTGGTCACTAGAGACGGAGCTGTCACTCAGGCCTTCATCGTTTCCACTTCTGTCGTGGTCGTCGTCTTCCTCCTCTTTGCCGCAGTCTCCATCTGTGATGTAGACCATGTCTTCAGGCAGAGAGGTGAACTGGTAAACGAGGCGCTGGCCCTCAACCTTGTTCAGGATGCCCCTCTGGTAGTAGTACCTTCAGAAACACAGGTGAGAAACATCCCATCAGCGCTCTAATTAAAACTGTAAGGGATAACTTCTGAGACCCTGCAACCCTCAGCTGACCGACAAGACTTGATTACAGTATCTGACAAGTTTGATTTAACTTTGTAGGGATTTTATGCAACAGTCTAACACAAGGTAGGGCAAACATTCATCTGACAAGCAGGGTGAGGACACAGGTAACTCAGGATAAGCTGCTGACATCCACAGATCAGGTGGAAGTATCTGTCACCTTTGCGTAATCCAAAAATTTTAACTTTTTTTTGTGTTAAAATTAAAAACCATAAGAGATCTTAACCATTTTCTGCTACAAACCAAGTCCAGGAAACAGCGAATAGGAGAAAAAAATCAGATGAAGTGATAACTAGTCTCTGTGTGACATGTAGTAATGTATGTATGGTAAGCCCTAAAAACCCTCTGATGTGATTCACACCTCTTAGTCTGCTCTACTGGTTCTCCAATCCTGAAGCATGAGTGACATAGATTTAGTTCGAATTTGGTCTGTTCCCAATAGGTCTATCTGCACACATCCTAAATCTTTAGGACATCACTGGCTGTGCAGACATTTAATGTGTCCACACCAAAGCATCAAAGAAGCATCTGTTGCTTCATCTTAGATGCTTGTCCACATTAAGGTCAGATTCCTGATGACCCTGCAATGTCTGATGGCTGCTTTTCAGGGTTCCTACAGCATAAGGAAAGTTAAATTCAAGACTTTAAGACTTTTTAATGCCACGCGGGAACCCTGCTTTTGCTACC